GTACAATGCAGCCAGTGATGCAGTGTGAGATACCACCAGATAAACTGGACGACGGTACCCATGGTCTGACTGCAGGTATCATCACCCCTCAAGTGTGTGTTTGCAGATCTTTCCCAATGCGACGGATGGGGAGAGCAGAGCAACGGCATGTGCATGCAGCTACACAACCGCCTTTTCCTCTGTAAATTACTCACCGTGCACCCAATCCAGGATTAGTCTGACTATTATACACCGTCGTCTTTGCAGAGATTGTCTGTATATATAGGAGTACAGGTACAGTTCATGCAGCCAGTGATGCAGTCATGCAGATACCTACAATCCAGCAGCTAGCAACCACAAAAGACGACGGTACCCATTGCCGGGTACTGTTTCGCCCAGGTAGCTTCCTTTTCTTACCCCTCACATGGCTGCACATGAGGTAGGCCAATTGCTTTTGAGATCTTTCCCGATGCGACGAAACAAAAGATGGGGAGCAGCTAGGGTTTGGTAGAGGAAGTGATGTTTAGCTACTTGCTCTAACATGTGATCATCCAACGGCAGTAACGCGTACCGCAGCCATTAGCCGAGCGCGCAGCGCACGAGCTCCCCAGTCCGGCAGTCCGTGCTCCAGCCCCCACCAGGCCTTGTTGTGGCCGTCATATCCCTGATTCCCTGACCCCGCTCCTCCACCGTTGCAGCGGAATCCCGTTCCGGCCAGCAGCCGAACAGGGCACCCTCCCTGTCGCTAAAATTCAAAACGTAAGCATATGCTCCAGCCGGTGGAGTTTTCCCGTTGCCACTGCGGCACTGCCCCATACATCTTCCGGGCATCTCACAGCCCACGACAGAAGAAAGATCAGCTCAGACGCTCGCATTTTTTTGGTAGACGACCGCTGCCACAGGGACCCTCACCCCAGCAGTGATTATTGCCGTCCCGGGGGTGTTGACCTCGTGCCGCGAGTTTAGGCACACGTCCATGCAGTCGTCCTCCCATGACAATTTACACGCCCCAACAGAGAGACGATCAGCGGGCTCGCCCAGGCCACCGCACGTCCGCACATCGGCACGACCCGCACATTTGCGGCATTCTCGGGGCGGCAACCGGCAAGACATGGGAGGCAAGTGGAAAGCTCGGGATGGAGTGGGAGCCTTGCGACGGGCGAGGTGTGGACGAGCGGCACGTGGGCAACACCGCAACAGGCAGCACCGTTGGTTGCTGGGCCTAGGTGGCTGGAGGCCTGGGGCACAGATCCGCTTTGGCGACTGGCGACGGACGCAGAGAGCGGCACGTGGCGTAGGATTGTTGGGCTGCCCGCGGGCGCGTACCGTTACGGAAGGCGACGGCGTCAGCACCTCCCTCTACGGCTCTACCAGTCCTTTCTCGGGGAAGAATCACGTGATCATGGCGAGGAGAAAGAGGACAGGACGGTCTTTACCAAACCGATGTTGGGACCGCGGCCGTGGTCTGCTAGAAGCCCAGAACCTTCTCCAGCGGGTTGGAGTAAAACCTTTGTTTTCCTCTTCCTTTTACTCAAGTTTTAATTAGTGATGCATGTTATATGTAGACCCAAGTAAAACTACTGATACTGACTACTCCCTCTGTCACAGAAGAATGTAATTCTCATATCTCGATGAGTCAAACAATTCAAACTTTAACTATAATTATATAAAAAAGTACTAACACTCGTGAAATAAAATAACTATCATTAGATTAGTTATACAATATATTTTTATAATAAATTTATTTAAAGATGTAAATACTAATATTATTTTCTATAAACTTGGTTAAATTTGAGTTAGTTTGACCGGCACGCTTCTCATAATTACGTTCTTTTCTGAATGGATGGAGTAACTATTAGCTTAGGAGTTAGTACGAGCTAAGTAGGTGGACCAAATAACTTACGCTAATAATTAGTGACAGTAGAAGTAGTTATTAGGATAGTCTTCGTGGAAGGTTTCATTCCATTGTTTCCAAGATGCGATAGCATTGATAAACATGAATGAAACATGCTTTCTCAATGGGCTGAGAGTTTTATTTCACTGTTTCAAAGGCTAGCGGCAGCATTTAATTCCTGTATTGTGCCGTGATCTACTATGTCAAGGCAAATTGTAGACCAACTATGCACGTTTAGTTTATTCGGTTAGCACTTGGCAGCAACAAACTGTTAAACTGGAATGAAAGAGTCAGTCACTGAACAATAGGCTAAAACACAGTCAGTCAGCCGAGCATCCAGATTCATTGCTGTACAGAAACAGAGCACTACGTGCATGCAGCTGAACTTCATCACAACAAGCCCAGTACAGAAACGAGCCGGGGACGGGACGCGCCTGCGCCCGCCCGGAGCCGGTGCCGCTAGCCGCTGCGCTCGCCGCCGGTTCCGGTCACCGCCGTGAGGCTCGGCTCGGCTCTGCTCTGCTCAATCGAAGCTGTCAAGGAGCGGCGGCGGAAGAGGGCGGGAATGGGCGGAGGCGCGCGCGTTTGGAGCACGGGATCGATGGGATGAAACTTTCCCCCTCAACTCTAAGTGTCGTCCAGTTACCGATGGCTTGGAAACTGCGTCCAAACGTTTTTCTCTCTCCTCCTCAAAACATGCAAAGATTTCATTTTTGTTGACGTGGCATCCTATTTAATATGCATAAAACTCCATTAAAACTAACCTTAGTTAATTATTATTAGTACTAGTGGAACATACAGACCCTAAGCATAAACAAATACTTAAAACTACATTTTCAACGTTTGCGATTTTTATGCACACCAGTACCACAAGCATGCACATGTTAAGTTGCTCGCTTGACTTCGTGGTTCAACTCTAATTTCATTGTGCTGGGTAAACTCAATTTCAAGACACCGGCCAAAAAACTAATCTATAGTATTAGGAAGAGCATCTCCTTGTCCGTGGAAGGAAAACCTAACATAAAAATTAGTTTTTTTTTTGAAGAGCCATAAATTCTTTTTGAGTCTTGAATGTCTTATCTCTCATAGAATGACAAAATCTCACCCTAATTTTTTCCTCAAATGCGTGGAGTCCATTTATCGTTGAACAAAATCATTCTCTTTTATTTTTCTCCTCTCTACCCTGTTTCTTTTTCTCCCACCGATGAAGAGCCGTTTGGCATGGCTCCAGGCAGTCTGGTTCCCCCCTGCAAATTTACTGTTCACTCACTGTAGCTAGAGCCGGCTCTGTAGCTAGAGCCGGTGTTCTCTCTCCTTCCCTCCCCCTCTCCCTCTCACAGACAGTCACAGCCAGCGGCTTCACCGGTGAAGCTCGAAAGTTTGGCTCCGCCGGCCCGTGAACAGTACCCCCGAGCTACAGTGAGAGAAGACAGCAGGAGAGAGAAAACCGTCTTTGTGCTACAGTGTTTCTACACTGATCTGTCAGCCGGAGCCGGAGCTGCCCGGAGACGTGCCAAACGGGGCCGAAATCCCAACCGTCGCTCTCTTGCTTCTCTACTTCTCCGAGCTCCCCCCTCGCTTCGGCTCGAGCCGCTCCTCCGACCTCCCTCCTCTGACGCCTCCTCTACTACCGTCCGCGAGGACGAGGAAACGGTCCCATGCGACGTGGGGCAGTAGGAGCTCAGTCCGTCTCTCTCGATCTCCTTTACCCCAACCACCTCTGCCATTCTCGTTTCTACACAGGAGAGAGCGCGGCTCGCTCTCCCGGTCCCCATCCCTCCTCCATTGCCGCTTCTCACCGGAAGGCCGAAGGAGAGGTGTGACTCGATCTACGACGGTTGGGCTCAATCAACGACTGACCGGGCTCGATCTGCGGTTGGCCAGCCTCGATTCGTCGTGGAAGAGGAGCGAAGCGAATAATTTGGTGGTGCACGGAACGCCTCCCACCGACCGACGGGAGACGGGACCCCAGGCGCAACGGAGCACGAGCACACGAAACACCACGCCAGTGGCACGACGGTAAATATCCTCAAACTGCAGTGCCGGTTCCCCACCCATTCCTCCGCCATTTAAACGCGGCTTCCCCACTTGTCCCTTTTCCTCGCGTCCACCTCCTTCCATCACTCCCCGCTGCGCTGCAGCTCCCCAGAAAAAAGGCACCAGGCAATTCCCGATTAGCATTTCGAATTCGCGATATGACCTGCGGCGGCGCCAGACCGGATGCGGGAAGCTAGCGCTCTATCTGGTCAGGGACTCATCTGCTGCGATTTTTCTGTCGTTTTTCGGGGGGCGTTTTGGTTCGGTTTCAGGTGGCTTTGCTTCTCTTTTTCTGGGGGCGTTTGGGTGCGGTTTCCGGTGGCTTTGCTTCGGCTCAAAGCGTTGGAGTGGGCGGGCGAGCGGCCGCTGTCGCCTCTGGATCCGATTCCTGTCGGCTAGGAGCTCGCGGGTGATCGTGGGATGCGGCTGGATCTCGGGGGCTTTGGGTTTTAGATTTTGCATTTTGTTAGTTATTACTTGGGTTTGGATTTTGGGTTTGGATCTGGGAGTTTCGGTGGTGCCGAATACCTTCCGAGAGGGATTTAGCATTGTTTACACAATGCGGCCATTGCTAGATTTGGTACGACAGGTGGAAGATCTGAAGTGATTGTAGAATTTAGCTTTTATTTACTCTTTCTGGTAGTATTTGGTTGCCTAATCTGTGCTCATGACCTAAGGGTGTGGACTGCGAGCATGGTGATATAAGCCACAAGCAGTTCGAATTTGCTCTAAACTTTATGCGTTGGACGACTTGATCGTTAATTTACTAATTTGTGTGTGTGATTTGGTATCCTGATGAAGGATGCTGAGGTGTGAATTGGTTTGGGTTTTGAGTTCAGTATCTCCTCTTCCGGATTGCTTGTTCCCTCCCTTGATGTACAAAATGACTCGTACAGATCTGACGCTTGGAGCATATAGGGTTATACGTTCTGATAGGATCGCCATCTGTGGTTTAGCATTTGTATTTAACCTTGTGCAGGTTCCTGAGGTTTATCTGTCCTTCATGTTGTTTGCAGGGCTTTGAAGTAGTTAAGGAACTGACTGTTTGGATGATTTGAAAGTGGCATCTATTCACGTTTGTATAAGCAAAATGGACAGGAAAGTTGCTAGCAACATGGAGCTTGATTCTGCTGTCTTCCAAGTATCCTCGCCTGACAACAGGTGAACACTACCTGGATTTATCAGTAGCATTTATGCAACACTTGATCACTGTTTCTCCAACATTTGTGCTTGGGCCCCTGTTTGGAATGTAGTTCTTAGATTTTTCAAAGGGACTTGTCTTAATCCCAATTCCTGTGATGCTCCAGCTTTGGAATACTCTAACAGTGCTTTGCCACGAAGAGGTTCACACATCTTAAAAGTTTAAAGGAATTTTGCCTTGGTTTTCATATTTTGCATCTAGTCGAGCACAACTGCTTCTCTTTGCTGTAATGCTGTGCTATCATCTTTGAGGATTGGGTATAAAGCTTAACTCTGCCCCTGTTTGTTGTGAAATGTTTCATGCATAGGTATGAGGCAATTGCTTGCAGTAAGGGAAAAACAGAACTGATAGCTTCTGGTCCTTTCGACCATTTAGTTCTGCACCTGGAGGATGCCAAAGCATTCCAATCTTGTTCATCAAGTGGTACTTTTAAACTGTTATTGACTGGGGATGAAAAGGGCTCTTCCTGGTTTACCAAATCCACCTTGCAGAGGTATTTGCATCCTTCCTATTTGCTTATGGTTATAGTTGTAAGATGACTAAATTGAACTGCTCCACCAGATTCTTGCATATCATAAATTCATCTGATACATCAAAATCGGTCAATGGAGTTTTAGACGAGATGTCACAGCTGGAGGAAACGAGAAAGTTTCATCAGTCGCTCTATGTTAAGGTATCACTTGTTTGCCAAAATAAAATTTTCAGCCAAGTTCACTTTTTAATATTTAACTGCACATGCCATTAATAATAGAGGTCACATTTGTTTTGCAGGAGCAACAAAATGTTTTTAGTGGTGCTTTAACAGGTACTTTCATATAAGCATCTGGTTCTTCCATTGTCGCTTGTTATTTGAAGACCTTCACAAGTTCACAATCCTTTAATGTATAATGGATATGCATGCATTATAGCCTGTCCGCCTTGTTTATTATTATCCCTGTGATCCACTTCAGTTGCTTTAGGTTTATTTTACCATCTATGTGTCACGTAGGTCGTGGGCGTCAACTTTCGTTTTGCAATGTAATTATACTCTTAGTTTTAGTTGATCTTTACATTGGTGAATCATATCGCTTGCTGGTTGATAATTTATTATAGACAATCAGTCCCACAAATATTGTGCCCTTGATTTGTTTACTATTACCGAAGAAATAGTTGTTAGTTGTATCTTCTGAGAATAATCCTTCCTTCCAACAGATGCTTTGACTTTAGTTGATAATCCAATGTACTCGTCTACATGTCCATGGGTATAATTAATGCTTTTCTCATGTATTTCATACTGGCAAAACTACTCTCAGGGCATTATTTTTTTTCTTCAAAAAACAGATGCCTTATGCTCTAAAGGTAGAACTGTTGAAGTTCAACTACCTTTTCTTTTCACCAAATATTGTATTAATGCTCACTTGAACTTCCATACTTCACAAATATGTGTATATATGCAAATGCAGACAAAACCATGAAATATGTAAACATAAAACTGCTAGAGGGGTTGTTTTTAATGCTTATGTGGTATTTATTCCTTGTAATATCCAAACATGAAAGCCTGTTCACATTTCATGTGATATTAACCTTACTGAATCTCGTTCAACCTTATAATGTTGGAGCCCTCAGTTTAATATGATGTTCTGTTTCTTCAGGAGGTTTGTTTGGTACTGGTGCCATAGCACAGCAGGTAGTTTCTAGTGCCGCAAGGATTTAATTTTACATGGTTTCAATCTTTCATGATCTACCTACTTAATTTTTAAACATCCACTTTTAGGGAAATGATGGGCCAAATTCATCGGAGACTACAAAGTAAAAAATCCTTTCCTTTTCTCTGCTACTTTACTTCACTACGTCTTTTGGTTCACATTTTCGATGGTTAAATATGCTAGGAATGAATTGCTTCGAGCACTGGATTTGAGGTTAACTGCACTGAAGGAAGAGATCTTGATCTTATTGAATCGAGCAGTTGGATCCAATTTATCGACAAGAGAAATATCTGATTTATCTGCTTTTGTTCAGAGATTTGGAACATCAGAGTTTAGGTATGTTAAAAAGCATAGTACTCTGCAATTTCACTCATTTTTTTTTACGATCAGAGAGTACAGATAATGCTAATTGGCTACAACTGTGTCTTCTAGTCATTCATAAACTTACCAACTTGGTCACATGGAATTAGTTTGCTTTTACATTTATATGATGCGTCCAATCTTTTGAATCGTGTCTTCATTGTCTGTTAAGTTGAGACAAGAGATTAACTACCGGTCTTTCTCATTTGCCAGTTGGTTGATGCGGTGTATGTTGTTGATTTTGGATTGTCAGCCCTCTGAGGTCCCTTTACAGCAAGATTCTACTACTGAGAAAATTGACAAGGGTGAGAATGCACATAAACCTTGTGATATCAGTCCTCAGACCAATCCCCAGAGGCCCATTGCCAATGATGTCTCTCCAGCAAAGCTTGCACAAATTGAGCGTGAGAGCTCAACAGAAAGTGAAGATTCCTCTGAGTCTAGTGATGAAGGTGAGGCCATTGTTGAAAGGAGCCGACCTCTTGTAAGATCTGCTTCACCTAGAAGATCGGCTTCTCCAATGCGGAGGGTTCAAATTGGGAGATCAGGATCACGTCGATCAACAGCAATTGCCATCAAGAGCCTCAGTTACTTCCCTCCTAGTCAGAGGATTCCTTTGGATAAAGATGATGAAAGTAGTACCTGCAATGGTGAAACTGACCAGCCACCAAGGAAATCTGACAATAATGTAAGAAGGATGAGTGTTCAGGATGCGATTAACCTTTTCGAGAGCAAGCAGAAGGATCAGAATCCAGATTCACAAAATAAGAAAGCTGGCTTGTTTGCTACTAAGTCTGTCTTAAGAAGGTGGAGTGCAGGAATGGGTGATTCTTTGAATGAAAAGTCAGAAGGAAAAGTCTCAGAGTCCACATCTGAAAGTAAATCAAACATGGCTTCTGAAACAGAGAAGGTTGGAGCTGAAATGAAGGCTGAACTAGATAACACACCAAAGAATTTTGTTACACCTGAGGTTGAAGATTTAACTTTCCATGCTAATTTTCATGATATTGGAGTACCAGAAACGGAGAGCACTGTTTGTAGTAATATTTGTGCAGAACAAGCAAAGTTTGGACTGGAGGAAAGCAGTGATCGGGCAATGGCCTCTGCAGAGTGGAACCGCCAGAAGGAAGCTGAACTTAATCAAATGTTATTGAAAATGATGGAAGTCATGCCTGGAAAACTTGCGGCTGCTAATGCCACCGCTGCTGGTCTCAGTTCCACCAATCAGCAAAAAGGTGTATCTCATGGTCAGCATAGAGAGAAGCGAGACACAAAAGTCAGAACTGAGAAAGGCACAAGGCGACCTGCAAAGGAACCAAGCACCAAGTCCTTGAAGGAAACAGCTGGGCAGAACAAACCAACAATGACCTCCAAAACTGGCACTTCAGCAGAGAGACGTATTTCACCAGTTCCGCAAAGGGCACGGCGAAATTCATCACCTCCAGTCCTACCCAAAGAAGTAGCTTCAAAGACACCACCAGTCAGAAAAAGCTCACCGAAACCATCACCTGCATCTGCATCTGTGCCTACCACACGAAGTTCATGGTCAGGTGGTTCTTTGACTAAAGCAACTACAACACAAAAAACTAAAAGCTCTCCTGGGATGGCTTCGACGTCCACACAAACTAGCCGAAGAAGGACTCCGACAACACCCTCGTCGTCTCAGCCAGCTTCAAAAGTGGAAAGAGCCATTCAACCAGTGAAGAACAAGAAGGAACCCATTACTGCTACCAAGCCAGCTATAAAGGGACAAGAAGAGAAGAAGACAAAAACAGCAACAAAGACAAGCAGAATAACTAGAGTTTCACCTTCTTCAGGAGAAAAATCAAGTGTAACAACGAAGCAAAGCTTGCATAAGGTTTCAAAGAAAAGCAGTGTTGTGCCGCTTGAGTCCAAACCCTTGAAGAAAACCACTGGAATTAGTCAGAGCATTGGTTCTGGTACTGTGAAGAGTAAGGTACCCCAACTTGATGACTCCTCAAAAGATAGTGGAAGTGTTAACCAAGCTGAAGATAAGGAGCAATCTCCTATGACAACCGAGCCAACTACCAAGGTACTGGAGGCTGATCTTGCTCAACCAGCACATGATGTTGATGAAAATTTAGAAATTTCGCTCGATAATGACTTGAATATTGAAAAAACAGAGAAACCGGCCTCGAGTTTAACTGCAACAGAAATGGGCTCCAGTGTCCATGTTGAACCCTCTACCGATGAGGTCGATGAGGCCATACAACGTCCTGATGATGACATGGGCATCTCATCAGCTGCTTGGGTAGAAGTAGAGCATCAAGAACTAGAAGTCACTGATTCGAGTGAAAATGTAGTCGCTGAGGATGTAACTTCCCCAGGAATTGCACCATTGCCATCATCAAGCCCAAGAGTGCATCATTCGTTGTCACAAATGCTGCAAGCAGATAGCAATGAACCAGAAATTATTGAGTGGGGAAATGCTGAAAACCCACCTGCAATAGTTTCTCATAAGGATTCTCCAAAAGGATTCAAGAGGCTTCTAAAGTTTGCTCGTAAAAATAAGGGAGACAATAATGCTAACGGCTGGGCAAGCCCCTCAGTAGTTTCTGAAGGAGAAGATGAACTAGAAGAACCAAGGGGCACTAGTGATAGTGCCAATTCGAGCAGGAGAACTTTTGATGGTTCAAAGACTAATAGCATCTTATCAGGTACCTTTCTGAACCATGGTCTCGAAGATGGTTCTGCATCCAAGTCTAACTCTTATAGGAACAGTCTCGGTACTGAGATAGTTAGTCTTTGTCACGGCCTTTTGATAGTTACATCCATGGTTTAAAGATGATTATATGGTCTGACCTTGTGCTGTTACCAGTTAGGGTGATGCTATGCGAGTATTTATAGACAAGCACATTTCCAATTATGTAACTTCATCGCATGACGCACAATTTTTACAGCTTTACCCACAGTAGTGAGAACCTTTTTGTTGAAGCAGTTCATCTTTCTATGCTTGATCAAATTAGCTCAGCAGTACAGTGTTATATTTCAAGGACATGCATAAATCTAAACCTATTCATTTTCAGCTCAATCAACTACCGGCAGCTTCAACTCTATGAACTCGGATAAGCTACGGGAGAGACCTGGAGCTGCCACATCAACAAAAGGTTAGTTTTCACCAAACAATGTAATGTGATATAATTAGGCCGTCGCTAACCCATCTGTTACGGTACTTCCAGCATCAAGGTCGTTCTTCTCCCTCTCAAACTTCCGGAGCAGCAGATCAAACGAGTCGAAGCTTCGATAGTGTATGCCTTGTTTGTCCAGCAGATACATGGATAGTTCATCTCTGCTCCACCCAGGACGTCTAGATGTAAAAATGGTTTGAGATTTGATTGTTCGGACGGAGCCAGCTTGCTGTGTTTGGCTCTAGTCGCCTGACGTTTGGTATAGCTTCTGCCTATGAGATGCCATATACTTTGCTTCTGCCTTTCTGTACATTTCAATATTTTACTGCGGTGGATGCGAGCTGATTGAGATGATCGATATCTTTGAATGGCTCGCAAGAGATTTGCTTGAACCAAAATCGTTTTGCTGTCTTGTCATGAGCAACATTGTTGGGAATGATGTAATTTATTCATATTGGGACCTACGAGTTATGACACGCTCCGACGCGGCGAAACTAGTTCTACTATAACCTTTCAAAATTACTCCCTCGTGAGAAAGTATCGCTGGCTGGTTCGTGGGAGAGAAAAATATTGTTCCTGGGTGAAAACACTGTTCACGTGAACAGTGCACCCGTGAAGAGGGCTGGTCAGCGCCAGCCAGCCGCTCCAGCCGAACAGGCTGCTGGTTGCTATGTGATCAGACACTCGCGATTTATAGCGATCCAAAGGCCTGACGAACTGTTAACATACAAATCAGTTACATACTGATATTTGAGTACGATTACACCACACATGCCAGACAACCGTAGTAGGGGAATTGGTTCAAATGATGACAGCCACAACCAGCAAAGAGGAAACCAAATTTATCCCTGAGTAGACTCACGCAAAGCAGTGGCAGATGAGTTATTGAGACTGGAAGTAGCAAAGGCCTAGGCATCACTTGTCGACGACTTCGATCAGTGTTGGTTCATAATGATCAGGGGCCTCAAACCCATGAAGGTTCAAGACTGTCGCTGCAACATTAGCGAGGCCGGCGTTTGCGAGGTCTGTATGGAACCGGACACCAGGTGCAAGTCCAGGACCTCCTATTGCGATTGGAACCTGAAGACGGATAGTTTCAGACTTCTCTGATCAAGAGCGCACCGAGAGGCCAGCATACATGGATTAACACCTAACATATCTCGACTGAACTTACCGGATTCAGCGTGTGCGAAGTAAGGGTCTGGACCCTCCCGTCCTTGTCCCGGAGTGGTTTTCCAGACTTGTCTCTTTTCGCCATGTCCTCGGCGTTGCCATGGTCGGCGGTCAGTACAAAAATGCCACCCACTTGTTCAACGGCATCGATGATGATCTGGAAGATATAAACCGGCAGTTTTCTAAACAGCGGAAACTGGACCACATGTGTGTGCTATGCATGGTGACCTATCAAAGTATCAATCAATTGGTAGGAAATCTCAGGAAGATAAGAGAGGTGATTGCACACATGACGCACTCATGCACATGTACCTTAACAGCCTCATCAGCTGCCTTGCATCCAACAACAGTTGCCTCAATGTCTCCTGTATGGCCAACCATATCTCCATTTGCAATGTTGACCCGTACCTACAAAATGCCCCTATCAGTCCCTGCCTTATCTGTGCATTACTTTTTTGTTCTAAGACAGTTATTCAAGATGATTTAAATTCATTAACTACCTGATCAAAATTTCGGCTCAGGATGGCATCCCTTGCTTTGTGTGCAATTTCCAAGGCCTTCATCTTGGGCTGAACATTGAAGGGGATGCCGATGTCGCTGGGAATTTCTTCATATTTTTCCAAGCCTTGGTTGAAGTATCCAGACCGATTTCCGTTCCAGAAAAAAGTGACATGACCAAACTTGACTGTCTCACTGAAGTTCATATGAGAATAACACACGAACAATATATGGTCAAGTAATGTACTATCATTCAGGTTCACAGCAATGACTTGTCACAACATAGATAAAGCACAATAGTAATTCACCTGCAAGCATAGGTGCGAATGCCGTTGCGCGCCAAGTATTCACCGGAGGTCCTCTCTATCTCTGGGGGAGCAACGAGATAATGGCTTGGAAGCTTGAGCTCGCCATCGTACTGAAGCATGCCGGCATAGCGTATCTTGGGGAACCTGACACGATCAAACTTGTCGAAGTCCTCGTACTCCAGCGCCTTTGCAAGCATCACCATCCGGTCAGCTCTGAAATTGAACGTCACCACAGCGTCTCCGTCCTGTACCGGGCCGACCGGGTTTCCGCTCTCATCGACTATGACGAAGGGAGGTAAGTACTGGTCGTTGGCCTTTGGATCCTCCCTGAGCTTCTTCACGGCCTCGAGCGCGTTCTTGAACTTGTGTGGGGCTTCACCGAGGACGTGCGCATCCCAACCTCGCTTCACAACCTGCCAGTCATTCTGCAAAAGACGACCGGTACCTGTGGTATTACTACAAAATATGCAGAGTAGTTGGGCCACATTCTTTTGTTAAAACTGATTGCTGGTGAATTTGCAGCAGAGGTTTTCATATTCTGCAGATTGTTTCCTCTACTAGGCTCAAGCCTGTCATGATTTAGCAACTGACCAAGCGTTCTTCTCTATGCCCAGAGACGCAGCTATAGTACTGTACCTCATAACGATCCATCGTGACATACATCCTGCCACCGCCAGATGCTATTCTCGCATCAACGCCCTTGTCCCGAAGCCTAGCAAGGTCGTCCTCGAGCATTTCCACGAACCTGACGCTGCTGCCATCCAGCACGTCACGGCCATCCGTGAGGACGTGAACCCGTATCCTCTTCGCCCCGCGCTCGCTTGCCCCTTTGAGCAGCAACTGCACGAGACAAATTAAAAAGGGGAACAAAAAAAAACATGCGCCACACACAGTAACGGTCGATCAGCTGTGACGACCGATTTGGCGACGTCAGAAATTTGTTCGGAGAAAGAGTGGTGGCATCAACCTGCAGCTGATCAAACCTCGAGTGCACGCCTCCGTCGCTGAGCAGGCCGATGAGGTGCAGAGTGCCGTCCTGGAAGGACTGCTGGATGTACTTGAAACCTTCACCCTCGTATATCTTCCCGGAGTCCAGCGCCAGATCCACCAGTTTCGCGCTGCACGTCGTGACGGAGTGATCATTGGTAATTTATTTAATTTACTAGTAATACTAATTTATCATGCGTAATTTTGCTTCAGTTTGGCTTTCAGATGGCGTCGGCGTCCGCCGGGTGTTTTAGCCTAACAATAGAGCAGAGTGGTAGCTAGTCGAATTCACAGTGTATAATTACCCCTGCGCGTATATCTGTCCTGCTCCGAGCGCATTGTGGCCGACCTCGCTGTTCCCCATGTCGTCATCCGTGGGCAGCCCCACCGCTGTACCGTGCGCCTTGATGACCCTCCATCTCACCGGAGCTGCCTGTTGCGCATAGTACATGTGACTGAGCAGAGTTCAGTGAACGGCAGCGATCAGCCGATCACACATGGCCCTGCTGTGGGTGGACTGCGTACGCGTACCTTCTTGAGGGCGTCCAGCGTGGGCGTGTCGGCGATGTGGATGCAGTTGAAGGGGTCGGGCGCCGCCTCGCCCCAGCCGTCCAGCACCACCACGGCCACCGTCTTGCCCTTGGGCAGCCGCGGGTGCGCCGCCAGCTCCCACGGCTTCCCCTCCGCGGGCGGCCTCGTCGCCATGCGATGCGATGTGATCGGCTGGCCCTCCAGAAGAAAGTAAAACGGTGCGCGAGTTGTGCTGGGTTCTTCTGGCGTCTGCTTGCTTTGCTCGTTGGGTTTTGGTGGTGGCCGTGACCCGGCTTCTTTGCACTGCACTGGAAGGCTCTCGGCGCGAATCGAAGTGGCTGGCAGCCCGGGAGGTGTAACGAACGTCCTCTTAATTAATTTTCTCGTGAGGAACCCAACTCTCCCTCCTTTTGGAGCAGCAACAGCAACGTGACAATGCGACACTCGGCTTCGGGACCCTGCGATGTCCACCTACCCTGCGCGATTTCAAATTCTCTATTTCCACGATGCGACGTGGGGTCGCGTGGTCATGGGGTCGTGGGCTTGTGCTGCAAACTAACTGCGCGACTAGGTTGCTCAAGGTCAAGCAAGGTCCAGCCGTTTCGAGGAGCAGCCGAACGGGCTGCGAGGTTTGCACGAGGCCCAGAAGAAAAAGGAAACGGCGGCAAATCGGCACCTGAAGCCCGGATCGCACGATGTGGCGACGCTGGTGCGCGGAGCCCGTCGAGCAGATGTACAGGCGAGACCACGCGCATAACCAAACACGCCCTGTACTACTCCACTCATGCCAGCACCGGTACAGGTACCAGTACTAGCCTGTTTGGTTCTCTTCTCTAGCTAGCCTGCATAGCATCTGGCATCTAGGCCACTAGGGCCTTGCATCAGCATCTGGCATCTTTTTAGCCATTTGTATGGAGCATTAAATGTAGGTAAAAAAATAACCGCTGGCCAGGCTTTTGAGCTTAGACGGTCCACGATTGACAATATTTACCAAATAAGCGAAAGGCCATTTATCGGGTGTTTTTGGTTGTCTTGCTCTGCAGAACCAGGATCCTGAGAGCAGCTGTTTGGTTGCCCATTCTCCGCGCTCGCGCCCGCTGGAGCCAGGCTCCCAAGAAACGAAAACCAAACTCGTTTCCTGCGAACCAGGCTCGGCGGCGCTGTTTGCATGCCGCTGGCCAGGCTGCGGCGCTCTGTACAGCCAACCAAACGCAGCACCTCTGCACCCCGTGAGCCAGGGCCAGCGAAAAGCAGGTAACCTAACAGGCTAGTAGTGGAGCAACCGAGCAAATGCATTTGCGTCCGCTCGCTGGCGCGCAAGCAATATCTCAGTGGTTTTTTGCGTGACCTCAAAAAAGTTTTCCAAAAGTTTGTAGTAGCGCTTTCGAATCTTTGGCAATAGCGTTAAATATAGGTAAAAAAAAACCAATTATACAGTTTGATTAAAATTCACGAGATGAATCTTTTAAATCTAATTAATTTATGATTAAACAATATTTATCAAATAAAACGAAAATGTTACTTATTATTGACAAAAATTACGAACTAAACACAGCCTAATCCTCAGCTGCTTTTCCGCCGCGTAACCTCTCACAGGCATGTAGTGGCGCAACCGAGCAACATGCATTTGCGTCCGACTCGCAGGCACAAAAGCAAGAATATTATGAATGGTGCCCATGTTTGGATCGCGTGAAATTCCAAGTTTTTCACTAATCTCAATCACATCAATTATTAGCTTTTGCGCCGCGTTAAATCTCACGATACAAATAATTACATGGAGTGGCGGCGCAAATGTCTTTTGGCTTAGTTGGTCCATCACATTGTCAGACGAGCGCAGCAAAAAGGTTGAATATTTTTTTGCAATCTAATATGATGTCCAATCCGCATTTACTCCAAGTGCTGCTGATTGGAGTTAAGCTCTCGTAGGCTCCGTTGGTATCGTTGAAAACAAAATTATTGTCTAAATACTATTCTAACTAGGCTCAAAAGATTCGCCTCGTAATTTAAAACTATATAATTAAAAAATACATTTAAAAACATACAAAGATTATAAGATAAAAACTGAATCTTAACCAGGCCCCAAGCTGAGAAATGGCCTTCCCCTGACTCCTGCCGTGGAGAAATGGAAGAAAGGAACAGAGGGTCCAGACTCCAGATCCGCAGAGGCAGAGCCCGTTTCTTGTAACGATCGCAAGGTGGCGCGCTTTGCGTGCATCTTCTTCCAGTTTCAGTAAGCCGCGCCTTGATTGCAAATTTTCTCTAAACATGCGAAACTTTACAAAAATTACACGAAGCCGCATGGCCAAATATGCGCACAAAAAAAGAATGCACTTATTAGCGTCCGGACGTCCGATTTGGACGCGCGTCCGGAACTCCGGACATTACCTGCATAGGAACGAACGACCGCATAACGCGTCGGACTCGTGAGGAAGCGCACCAGAAATGGTCCCACACCGTCCCGAACGTCTCCCGACGCCGCCCCGGACGTCGTCCGCACTGCCGGCTGCTTCCCACCCATATGCAACACCCGATCTATTTTTAAAAACATCCGGATACAACAGTTACAACGTACAAAAAGAAGACAGATGAAATACTTGAAACAAGCGTCTGAAACACTTGCGAAAACGCCCGAAAAATATTTGAAAATCATTGCAAACATATGGAACATCCAGATGAAACACTTGCAAACATACGTATGAAACACCTAAAAACACTTGAAATATATGCTTGCAACATGCATGTATATACAACATCTAGATCTACCTTTGCAACATCTAGACAAAATACTTGCAACATTCGTCTGAAACAGATGAAATATTTAGAACATACACTTGAAACATACGTGTATATCCACTACAACATGTGCAACATCCCGATCTACTTTTGTAACATCGATATACAACACTTGCAACATACCTCGGAAACATATGAAATACTTGAAACATATTATTGCAACATGTACTTTCAATGTAGCATCTGCTTGCTGCTTGGACAAGCTCATCGACGCGGAGCTCGAGGCCGGCACGGAGCTCAAAGCCACGGAGTGATGCGGAGGTCGCCGTTGTGGAGCTCATCGACGGCACGGACCTCAGTAGGGGCAGGGGCAGGCGGATGGAGCACGGTTTGACGGGAGGCGCTAGTCCGGGATCGATCTAGCGAGCGGCTAGCACGTCGAACTCATCGTGCGTGGCGCGGGCGGCCCGAGCGAGGACATGGTCCGTCCCAGACAACGTGGGGGGAGGGGGCGGCGTGGGCGAATGTGGGGTCCGAGTGTTTCCGGAAAAGGAAATGGGCTACTCAAGGTCTACAAAGTACAAACTATACTCGCTCCGTCCCTAAAGAACTGTCACTTGTTGGTTTGGGTGTCGCAATTTTGACTCGATTTACAGAAAATACGTACAAGTTTTGTATCTCAAAGTAAATTTATTAAAAAACTAGATTCAAAGATCTTTATAATGATACTAATTATGTACCTAAATATTAATATTTTTAATATATATTTAGTTAAAGTTGTTTCTCGTAAAGTGAAAATGACAGATATCTAGCGACAGAGGTAGTACATTTCCGGCTGGCCGGCTCTAATCCCACTGCTCCGCTTTGAATTTGGGCTTTGTTTAGTTCGCGGATTTGGGAGTGGCCAAATAATTAATGCGTTACGTAGCGTTTCGTTTGTATTTGTGAATTATTGTCTAAACATTGACTAATTAGGCTTAAAAGATTCGACTCGAAAAGTACAACCAAACTGTGCAATTAGTTTTTGATTTTGTCTACATTTAGTACTCCATGCATGTACCGTAAATTTGATGTGACGGGGAATATTTTTTTTTTGCATAGTGCATTTTTTAGTAGTTTGGTGGGAAGTAAACATGGCCTTGATTGCAATTTTAAACGAAGGAAGGGCCTTCAGCTTTCAATTGTTTGTCACATATTTAAACCATCAGAGCAACTAAAAAGAGACAGTTCGGGAGCGGCAACCACCGGTAATTAAGCAGCAAATGTTTAGACAGGCCAACAGATTGGTCCTGTTCGTTTGGCTGAAATTTGGCTTGTGCTCTTAGGTTGATTTGCTATGAGAGTAAAAAACTATTCATTCATCGAAAAGTACTACTACATGGTAAAAAAATAGGGTGTAATAGCGTACTCCTCTGTCCCGAAAATAATGCAATTATTACTTTTCGAGAAGTCAAACTGAAAGTGCATCTAGCCCTTTAGTGGGTTTTGGATAATTGATTGACAACGTGATTAAAGGTCTAACCCGTTTGCTAAGTGTGGACAGGTAATAAGTTATCTCACACGTATTTAATGAAAGCCAAAATGATGTGTTGTTGTATAAACAATCTAGTTCAAGCACAAGATAACAATGCAAATGGAATTCATGCAAAAGCTTATTTATTGTGGGATTTTCATGTACTATGTGAAAGCAAGCATGTAAGAATTAATTAATGAGACATAAGGGATTGCATATGAAATGGTCTCATATTTGAAGCTTGCAAAATTAAAATAAAAAAGATAACAATACATGAATGGATGATTCAACACAAGATATGACTTAATGGCTTGAGATGGTGAAGATAGTAAGGAAAGGTTTCGAGGTACTAAGCAAGGGTGAAAGGCAAGCGACGGCTTGGCGGCCGAAGAACCTAGCTAGGGTGAAGAAGGAAATACTTGCATTTAGTTGAGGTATTAATCAAGCTATGATTGCCATGTTTATGTGGAGGATCAAATTATTATTGAAGTGTTTGATGGAAGTGACTTGATACATTTGGGATTATTCAAATTTGATGAATGGAATCAAGTCACGTGCTCAAGATAGCTATGCTCAAGTGAAAAAGATCAAAGTTGACATGTTAGCACCCTCACTTGATGAAGATTGGAATACACGGCTTCGGTTGAAAGAGAACAACTCAAAAGGTTTAAATTCGTTATACATTTGAATTTGAGTTAATATGAATGACGTACTATTAAGAGGGATGCATCATGTTGACAGATAATCATTCATAAGTGCTCATGCCAACCCATGTGAGTTTTGAGTATTTGAGCGACAAAAGAGCTAACTTTATTTTTGCTGGTCTGGCAATACCGGACGTGTCCGGTATTTGCCCAGTAGTGGTAAAATTGTTGTTCTCGGGTTGGTTTGTCAGGAGTTCCGACGTAAGTCGGGAGTTCCGGCAATG